GGGGGCCGGAGGAGGGGCCGGAGAGCGCGTGAGGGGACGCGAGAAGCCCTCACCTTCTCCAGCCCCAGCAGGTGGAAACGGAGCACCTGGATGGCCTGTATCATCTGAAGAGGGAGCAGGAAGAGGCAGAGGAGGGGAGTGAGGGCGGGCGGGAGGGAGAGGAGAGGAGAGACGAGACAGAGGGCCGGAGCAGAGAGGCAGTCACGACGCAAAGCACAGGGGCAGAGAGAGAGAGAGAGAGAGAGAGAGGAGAGGGGACCCCAGAACCACAGGAAGAGGGAGCGTTAGACTCAGAGTCAGAGAGAGAGGAGCTGGGGGGTCGAGAGGGGAGGCTCCATCCCAGGCGAGCGGCGGCGATGAGGGCGCCCCCTCCGAGGCCTGCTTGGCCTCCACTCCATCCCCCCCCTTCACCCGCAAACTACACTTCCCAGAGCTCTTTGTCACAGGGTTCAGCCAATCGGAGGCCCTGGCGGGAGCTGGGATAGAAACGAAGCCAGGGTGCCCCCACCCCCATCTCCCTCTCGCCCTCTCTCCCTCCCTCTCCTTTCTCCTTGGCGGCCAAGAGTCTGCACTCATTTCGGCGCGGGCTCTGTCCCCTGATAGAACAGCTAATGCTTATCGAAGTCCCCTTTCTGGGCCAGGCCCCGCGCTGAGCGCCCGACTCTCTCGTTAACTCACGGAGCCCTCACGACAGCCCTGCAAGTTATACGGCAGGACTCGGATTTGAACTCAGAGCGCTGGATCTGCGTTCCCAAACGCCAGGCTGGGCTGAACTGCCAGTGGGCCGCGGCTATCGCTACCTGGGGACGCGTGGCAGGTGGCCTCCTCTCCACTCTCCCAACCGACCAATCCCGAGGCCACAGAGGGCAGGACAGAAGGGAGCACCGTGGGGGGCTCAGGGCTCACCAGATTGTCCAGCTCTGGGTTGGAGGAGAAGAGAGGCCTCTCGGAGCGGACCTGGGAGGAAGAGAGAGGCCAGGGAGGGCACGCCCCACCTCCCGCCTGCCCCCTCCCTGGCGATCCTGGCCCATGGCGGACGGGGCGCCCACCTGTTTGGCAAAGGCTGTGATGTCCTCGTTGAAGGAATCAGAGGAGCAGACGTCACCGGCCAGGGGTGCGCCCAGCCCGGCCCCGGCTCCCGCCCCGTCGCGGGGCGAGCAGGTGGCCAGTTCACATTTCTCAAAGACCAGGGCCAGCAGCGGGAAGAGGGGGTGTCTAGAGGAAGCGGAAGAGGGCAGAGTTCATGAGGGGAAGGCAGGGGTCTTCCAAGTAGGGAGCACCTGGGAGGGGGCCCGGGAGACCCAGAGGAAAGAGAGGGAGAGACAGAGACAGAGACACAATCGGGGAAAGAGAAAAAGCTCTGGAGAGACCAAGAAGGGCAGAGAGGCCCACACCCCGGGCCCGGTCCCCACTCACCCGTATATCTCATCCTTCTCCTGCTTCAGGCCCTCGCTGTCCAAGCCTGGGCGTGGGGGCTGGGGAGGCCGGTGGGGGCCGTAGGGCCCGGAGGCTCTGGGTGTCGGAGGCGCTGCCTCGGAGAAGCCGGCCAGGGCTTCGGGGCCGTCCACGACGCCTGGGTAGTGGGGCAGCTCATCATACTGGGGGGCAGGAGAGAAACGGCGAGAGATGGGTAGAAAGGCCAAGAAAGAAAGAGACAGGAGATGGGGAGAGAGATGCAAAGGGCCGGGGTGGGGGTGGGGACGAAGTGGGGAGGACGAGACAGAGAGAGAAGCTCCAGGAGTGAGAAGCAGAGGCAGACGAGACCGCGACGCTCGCTCGCGACGCTTATGACGCTTCCTGCGAAAGCGGGACGTCGTCTGTACACAAGTGTGTGCACACACGGTGCACGCTTCGACCTCATTCCAGCTGTCAAATGCGCAGCCTGAGTGTATCCTGACAACTCGTCACACCCCACTCACCCTGTGAACGCGCACACACACGCACACGCACGCACACACACACGCACGCACACGCGCGCACACACACACACACACAGCCAAAGGCCGGGCATGGGAATGAATGAAGGAGACTGATGAATGAATGAGTGAATGAGTGCACGAGGCGTTGAGCACCGTGCCTGGCACACATTCGACACAGTGTTGTAGAGCGAAAGCATGACCCCGCATGACCCCGCACGACCCCGCACGACCCCGCACAGCCGCACGGCCCCCAGGAGAGGCCACGCGCATCCGGGGGGGATATTTCTGTGTCCGGTCATCACAGAAACACACGAGCCGGGGAAGCCGGGGGACCTTCAATCGCCCCAGTCAAACCCTCTCCTTGGAGCTGAAGAAACGGCCGCTTCGAGAGGCGAAGGGGCTCGGGAAGGAGAGAGTCCCCGCCGCCGGCCCCCTCGGGCCCGGCCAGCGCCGAGGACCGTCCTGTGTGTGTCTCTCCTTCTTTCCTCTTCCACTTCCTCTCTTAACTTCTGGGCCCTGAAGTTGCTTTCAACTGCTCCCTGCCATTCCTCGCCCATCCTAAGACGGGCGGTGGGTCCCCCTCCACCCCCCAGGTGCCTGCTTACCTCCTGGCCTGACTCCTTCCACCTGGCCCGGCCCCAGGGCATGGAGAAGAGGTGAGGGGGGCCCAGCCCGGTGAGACCCACCTCTCCCAGCACCGTCCTCACCCTTAATCCTCCAGGACTCAGAACAAAAGTAGAGCGGGGAGGACTGGGGTGGGCGGCAGGAAAGGAGGTGGCGGGGGGCACGAGAAAGCGCCCGAGCTGGAGGGGCAGATGGAGGGACAGAGTAGGGGACACCGAGGGACAGACAGAGAGGGGGAGAGAGAGAGGCAGGGCGACGAGGAGAGGTCGGGATCCGGCGGGGAGGAGGGCTGGAGGGAGCGGGGAGGCGGAGACGGGCTGGGGCGCGGGGTCGCCCGGCCGCAGA